ACAATATTTCTATAAAATTTGTCAAACACAAAAATAAAGAGAATAATATAACAAATGTGGGTGAAGCCATCACCCATATTTAACAAGTTTTAACATGGCCATTGTTACTCTGTGTATTGTTAAAGGAAAATATACAATTAAACCCTTCATTTTTACCCTTGCCCCCATACAAGGATAACCACTGGTGACACCTGGACTGACTGCAAGAACAAGGTCCTCAAGGTGAAAAAGTGATGAGATTCAGAGAAGAAGTGAGTGTGGGAGCCAGGTGGCCTCACTAGTTGCCACCAATGATAAGAGCTAGCAGGGAGTACTCACTCTGCGCCTGCCACTGTTCTCTTTATATATATTAAATCTCTTAATTCTCAATCCTATGCTGTAGTCAGCATTTTACAGATAAGGAAACTAAAGCACCTAAAGCCACACAGCTCATAGAAGCAGAGCCAGGATTTGAAAATAGGCAGTCTGGCTTTAGAGATCATGCACTACACCTTTATATTACCCTGTCATAGGAGTGTGTTAAAAATGGTGAACTTCTGTTTTTCCTCTTCCTCAACCATTTAAAAAAGTATAGAGCCTTCAGTTTCTCATTTTAAAAAAATTCCCCTGTTTGGGATCTCTGGGGGCCAATTCTGCTTGGTTGTTCTTTCATTCTGCTTCTTGAACCTACAATCAGTTTCCTCCACTTTGAACCAGATTGTGTGTGTGTGTGTGTGTGTGTGTGTGTGTGTTTATCCAGAAAGCTTTAAGCTTGAAATATCTTTCCACTATAAAGGTTCTATTTATTGTTTTCTCAAACGTTATACTAAATATACTCTCCAAGTAACTGTAATTTTTTTTATCCTTCTGTAAAATAGCTAACTATGAATACCTTTTGTATTTGTAGTTCCTAGAAACCTTTTGGAATAGCAGCATTCTCTTAAATGACTAATTACACCAAATCTGATGCCTGTGTAATGCTATCCAGCAAGCAGCTGGCTTCATATGAAGAGAGGCTAAGAGCTCTTTTTTGTCTTGTTCATTTAAAATCATTTGCTTCTTATTTAATATCTGTAAAGAACGCAGTCACATCATAGTAGAATTTGCTGTTGTAAATTTTGGATTGTTTCCATGGGTTCCGCCTTACATCTGCATGGTGTTTAAAGCCAATGCTTCCTTTCTTTTTGTAGGCAGTTAGGGCCTTTTGCCTCATAATCCAATGTCATGCTGAATGACAGAAAATTGAAGTTGAATTTATTTAACTATAGAGAAGGACTGCACAGAACAATACACTTATTTAAGAACTCCTTGCCTCAGGAACTGAAGGAGCGGTCTTGTGCAGGTGGCTTAATCTCTCTGGTGCTTATCCTAACTGTGCTCCTTTATTAAGGACAGAAACTGGGCACTCTGCTTCCAAAAACAAAACGACCCTACTAGTCTACCAGAACCAATAATAAACCAATAGCATGCTTACTCCTCATTCAAAACAGTAAAGAGAAGTTCTGTGTATTTTTTAAAATAATTCTTAGCGCTTCTTTTTTAGAGAAAAATGTAACGAAAAGTAAAAACAACAACAAAAGAAACAGCCATGAAAATATGTTAACTCTTAATTATATACTGCTGGTCAGTTTACATTATGGATTATTCATGATGAATCTTTTTTTTCCTCAATTCTCTGTGGTATCTTCTCTGTTTATATAAAGTGATTTCTTTGTTGACATTACTTGTATTTTCTGTTTCTATTTACTTCACATGGCAGCGTTCAGTGGTTTCTGTGTGGTAGAGTAAAACATTTATTTTCTTTCCCTATTTTGACTCAGAGCTGCTGTAAATTTTCTGAAGGAAGTGGCTTCTTCACTCATTGGGCACTGTGAATTAGACTAAGCTGTCTATGCTTATCTTGAACCAGGGAGAAAGGGATATTTGGGGTGGGTATGCAGAGAGAATAATACTGGAAAGTATAGTAGCTTTTCCTTTCTTGCATGGGTCATGACTGTGTAGTTTATTTTCCTTTAAACCTAGTAAATTCTGGGAATATAATGCACAAGTATATTCAAATGTGAGCTTAAGAATGCTTTCCAAAGCAGGGCGCCTGGGTGGCTCAGTCGGTTAAGCCTCCAACTCTTGATTTCCGCTCAGGTCATGATCTCAGGGTTGTGAGATGGAGCCCTGCTTTGAGCTCCACTTCAGGTTTCTTGCTCAGTGGGGAGTCGCCTTGAGGTTCTCTCTTTCCCTTTCCCTCTGCCCCTCACCACTGCACTCTCTCATGCTCTCTCATGTGCACTCTCTCTCTCGCTTTCTCAAAAAAAAGAATACTTTCCAATGCTATAAAAATGGGGTTTTAAATTAGCTGCCATTTTTACTGTCTACTATTGTAATTATCAGATGATTGAGAATTAATTGCATAAAATTCACATATCAAGTACCAATTATTTGGTCAAGATAATCAATTCTTCCTCTTAATAATAGCTGTATTTAGAAGTGATAACATGGGGCGCCTGGGTGGCTCAGTCGGTTAAGCGTCTGCCTTCGGCTCAGGTCATGATCCCAGGGTCCTGGGATCGAGCCCCGCATCGGGCTCCGCCTGCTTCTCCTTCTCTGCTGCTCCCCCTGCTTGTGCTCTATCCCTCTCTCTCTCAGATAAATAATAAAATCTTAAAAAAAATTAAAAAAAAAAAAGTGATAACATGAAATTTATTACATAGGCTCAGACCCATGCTTCATCTAGTTTAAGATTATGTTTTGACAAAAGCACCAAAGGACATTAATAAGAAGGCATAATTGTTCTCTCTGAAGTCAATGTCATAAAGTTGGTCACAATGATACCATATTTGTCTTAATATCTTTCATTAATTATAATATATTAATTTTTAAACTTTCAAAATTTAAATCTAAACCATCTCTTGGAGTTAGACATTCTGCTAATTTACTGCATATTTTATGTAAAATACTTTTTATTCATCTTAAGTATACCCCTTTAAAGATTCTTAAACAGATCTATAGCTACACTAACCATACTTTCATGGACAAGTACCATATCCCCTTGTAGCTTTTATATCTTGAGAGCCCATGTAGGAGAGTTAGAAAGATAAGGACTTCGGGATGAGTCTAATCTGAGTTTGAATCACAGGAGCACTTCTAACTAGCTATGTCACCTTTGATAAGTTAGTTAATTACTCAGATCCTTAGAGTCTTCACTAGTGAAAATATGTATCTGTTTTTCATGGTAGTTGTGACTATAAATGAAATGATATAGGAGAAGACATTTTGCACAGTGCCACAGAGTGCACCATCAACAAACACTAATCTCTTTCCTTCCTTATTCTTCAGAGGATGGGTTGAAATCTTTTGGCCGTGCTGGTGTGAATAGAACCCCTCTACAAGTCCATATGAACTTAATGACAAAGCAATCCATTGTGCAACATTTATAAGAGATTGCTTTGTTTCAGAAGGTTGCACTCAAAAATAAATTATATGTATGTGATCTTTTCTCTCATATAATGATATCACTTGATAACTGGGCAAAATGGACCCTACAAATACTATCTATCAGTTAAGTCCTTATTGACTTTTACTTTGAGGGGCCATTCTTTCAAACTGATCCCTTCAGCTGAGTTAAAAACCTTCAGGTCAGTTAAACTGTTGGCTAATGCATTAATTCATTGTAAGATATTAGGCAAGTGGTGCCTGGGTGGCTCAGTTGGTTAAGGTTGATTTCTGCTTAGGTCATGATCTCAGGGTCATGAGATCGAGTCCCACTTTGGGATCCACACCATGCAGGGAGCCTGCTTAAGATTCTCTCTCTCTGTGCCCCTCCCCCTCTCTCAAAAACATATAAATAAATAAAAATAAAAAGCATATTGTAAGATACCAGGCAAGAGAATCGGAGAGTATCTCCTTTTTTTTCCCCCTCATCTGAAAAATGGGGCTATTTGCACCTAGATAGAAGTTTGAGGGATAACATTAAATAATGTATGTGTAAGTACTGGATAAACATGAAGATTTATACTAATTTCTGGCAAATTCTAATTAAAACATTCGTTTAGAGTGATTTTTGTCTTGTTTTCTAATTTAAAGGAACTGGCTCTTCTTCATAAAACAAAGCTAAGAAGGCAGATTGACAATATATATAGAAATGTTATGTATTTGTATGGATGCACAAAGATTTTAAAGTTTACTATTAAAGCTATGTAATTAAAACATATCTGAGCAGGTGTAGCATAGAAATTTTATAGTTCCAGTGTGTTAAATTATTTTCTCCATAGAAACCAGTTAGTCCATCTGTGTAAGTTCGTTTTCTACCTTTCTCTCAAAAAGAGTGCCAACAAGGGCTGTCATTGCAGTGGGGGTTCAGATCATAGTTCCCACACATAGGCTAATGGCAGGACCCACTTCATTCCAGCCATTTGTTCTTTCTGCTTTAGTTTCAGTTCTGCATCTGCACACGTTAGACACGGCTGCTTGAATAATCTTTTGCAAACACTGCTTGAATTCCCCAGACTATGGAAGCCAATTTCCTGCTTGTATTTTCTTGGCTTTGAAAGTTATTAAAATGCCTATTAGATGCTACCCAGAGTTAACAAATTCTTTACGGGGAGCATTGCACATGGTTTGTCTATTTCAGTTCTACCAGGAGGCCTCAGTGATACTTCTCAGTTCCAGGCCACAAGAGTGAGCTCAGGCAGTCAGGTGTTTCAGAGGTGAGCCACATGATCAGAAATTCATATGTGTGTCAGTGACATAAATTTCCTTTAAAAACATTAGTAAAATTTAGCCTATTAGCTGTTTGAAAATTATCAAGATATTGGTGGCAGAAAGAGGCCAATAAATTGGATCTGTCAAAAACCATTCATTCTGTGGGGTTTCGGAAGAGATGAGCTGCATATCCAGGCAAAGTGGAGTAAACAGCTGTAGTATGCTGCAGGAACTGAGTGGCAGTTCTAAAAGAATATGTTTTACACTCTGAAACTATCTGGACATTTTGAATGTACTAATCAGATGAATACACTGTGTCATTTCAGATTTACAATGTCAAGTAGAGGCACTTGGGCTAAATCTTCAGAAGGCAGTGACCAAGATTGACAACTATAAAGCAAAGCTCATGTAAGATGGTAAACATTGAACAACCTGTAGATTTTAGAAAGACCTCTCCCACCCTTACCATCTGTTCTCTGTGACTCTTTTAGCAGTGATTTCGTTGTGTGAGTGTGGTCTGCTTTTCTCAGGCACTTTTCTGGCCTGTCTTTATATTAAAGGACATGTAAATATTTTTAAATACATGAAATGTTTCTTTCACTCAATAAGAAACTTAACCTATTCATGTATTAAAGCTTTCCCTGGTTGTTCAAGTATAACTCAATGTGAAATATTCTGATTTTTTTCTCTTAACGTGTCTCTTTATTATCCATCCAGAAGAAACAACTTTGAAGTTGTTTCTTAAAATTACCAATTTTAAGTTCAAAAAGAGAGTATCTTTGAAAAAGTATCTTTGAGTATCTTTGAAATGTTGGAGTACTTATGCTTTATACAAGTAAGAAAGAAAATATTGAAAAACAAATGACAAGAAAATGCCCTTGTAAAATCTCCAGAGCACTATTGCTTCTAGAAATGAATTTACTTCAGAAGTTTCAAAAATTACTTTATGGTATAAATATCATACATCTATAATTATAATACTAAAATAGAATTTATATAATCTTTGAAAAATAATTTTTTTTATTTTGTGGTATGTAATCTGGTAGCTCTGGTTTTCAGTTCCTATATTTTGGAAGAATGAACCTCACAAGAAATATAAATATTTAGAATGCTTAGCAACCAAATGTTGTGTTGACTATGGACTACTCCTAAGAACAATGTGTTTAATAAAATTCTTAACAGTGCAAGGAAGAACAAATTCCAAAAATGCCCTACCAAATTAATTTATACTTGAATTATTTGTAGCAAAATAATTTGTCTTTTAAAAACAAAAGAAAGCAAATATTCAAGCTTTGCAAAACTGTGGTTAATAGTACAATAAATACAATAATTCAACCGTCTGTGTATAATGGCCGAGGTTGAAGGAATGAGTGGATAGGGGGTCCTTGGATGACTCACTGGGCCCAGGAAGTAACTTTCTGGATGAAAACAAGCATGAAAGAGAGAAGCAAAATGGTGATTACCCCCCCTCCCAAAAAACCCATTGTTCCCCACCCTCTAGTAACATTAGGGAGGGCTTTGGCCATATGGATGTCTCATGTGGAGGGCAACCTAATCAGGCCACGGCTACTCTGTGACTTTGGCTTCTTAGATCTCAATAAGTGAGAAAGGCACATTCCAGGAATAGAGGAGTAGGGCTGGTACTGACTAAACTAAAAGGGAATTTGTGGACCCACCAAGACTTAGCATATGGAGTGGAGTCCTGGCAAGTTAGGAGAGAGGCTAACCACAGAAATAAGCATTCTGAGGAAAAAGAATAAAGCTCATTGGTTGTGACATGAATTGATTTTTCACTTGACAAATTGGCACAGAATTTTCTATGTATACAAAGAACATTCCCATTTAATAACATGCTTTGTGGTATTTTTTATTAAATATATATATATATTTTAAAGATTTTATTTATGTATTTGACATAGAGAAAGAGATAGAGAACGTGCACAAGCAGGGGGAGCGGCAGGCAGAGGGAGAGGGAGAAGCAGGCTCCCTGCTAAGTAGGGAGCCCCATGTGAGGCTCGATCCTAGGACCCTGGGATCATGACCCAAGCCGAAGGCAGACGCTCAAGCGACTGAGCCACCCAGGCTCCCCATTATTAATTATATTTTTAACATAATTTATAATGTGAATACTGAGAAATGACAAGAGTCAGAATAGATTGGAGTTGGAGTGAGAAATACCACCTCACTAAAGTCCATCAAACAAATTAGCTGGAGGAAATGCGTTTGTTTCAGTTTATAAAACTGTTGCTTCCTGCCCTATATAAGAACTTCTTAAAATTAGAAAATGGGCAGAGTATCCATTTTTAGAACGCTGAGTTATGAAAGAACTACTAAGTCCCTTGTGATTACGAGATGGTACCACATCCAAATGGAACCACCCAGAGACAGGAAGGGCCTGTTTTTCTGGTGTCTCCTTAGAAATGAGGAAAAAATGTCCCAGAAGCCACCAAACAGCCCTCTCTTTACATCTCTTTGGCTGCAACCCTTTACATACCCTCTCCTAAATGAATCACTGGCAAGGTGAACAAGACTACCACAATTAGTTTAAACCAAGCAGGATTATGATAATGGAGTTCTGATGGCCAGGAAGAAAGCTGCAGTGCATGTCTAGAAGGTAACCAGTAATGCTTGCTAATGTGGTAGAGCATTCATGATGCTTTGAAAAGTTAGGACATGAGCAAGGCCAGTTGAACTTGATGACCAAGTTCAAGACATGAGGAAGGCTATTTGTGGTGGACAGAATAGTAGTACCCAAAGATTTTCATGTCCTAATTCCTGGAGTCTGTGAGTATATTACTCTATATGACAAGAGGAACTTTGCATATGTGATTAAGGATTTTGAGAAAGGGAGATTACCCTGGATTATTCAGGCAGGCCTGATGTAATTGCAGAGATACTTATAAGAGGAAAACAAGAGGGTCAGAGTCACAAAAGTAGTTGTGAAGGTGGAAGCAATGTTTGGAATGTTGTGATTTGAAGATAGAAGAAGGGGGCACAAGCCAAGGAATGCCGGTAGTCTCTAGAAGCTAGAAAAGGCAAGGAAACAGATTTTCCCCTGGAGCCACCAGAAGGAACACAGCCCTTGTGATATCTTGATTTTAGGACTTCTTACCTTAGAACTGTAAGATAGTAAGTTTGTGTTGTTTTAAACCACTAAGGTCTTGGTAATTTCTTATAGCAACAATAAGAAATTAACACACCAGTGTGGTCAGAACCTAATGAGGATTCTGGATTTATGTGGAGGGCAATGGGAAACTATTAGAGGATGTTTGACAAGAGAGTGAACTGCTCTGATTTGTTTTATTTATTTTTTTATTATGTTATGTTAATCACCATACGACCTGATTTGTTTTAAAGGGTCAGCAAGGCAGCTACCTGGAGAATGGACTAGAGTGGGAGTACAAGAGCAATCAGGGAAACCGGTGGGAGGGTGTGAGTTCATGCAAGTCAGAAGTGACTGGTTGAGTGTAAGGCTGTATGTAGTGTGGAGATGGAGAGAAATATGTGTCAGTTCAATCTGACAGGATTTACTGGTAGAGTGGATGTGACTGGGGAGCAAGAAGACTGGAAAGGAAAGAATAAAGGATAGGATTTGGGAATTTTCAGCATCAGGGTAGACAGTCGAGAGGCACTAGAGCAGGTGACTATGAGCCTTGACTCTAGATCCAGACGGCTTCCAGCACCACTATTTAGTAGTTATGTCACCTTAGGCATGGTACTAATCTCCCTAGTCTCAGTTTTTTCAACTATAAGAAGGAAATAAAGGTTACCTTGTCATTATGGCGTTGGTGTCATTAATTGATGTGGGAAAATCGTAGAAGAGAGGGGGTGAGGGTAATAAAAAGCTATGCTTTTGATGTATTAGATTTAGAATGCCTTTTGGACAGCAAGGTGGAAGTATCAAGGAGACAGTTTGAAAATGGTTATTTCATATGAAGCAGTGGAATGGTATGGAAACTTGCCTTTTTTTAAAGATTTTATTATGTATGTATGTATGTATATATGTATGTATGTATTTATTTATTTATTTATTAGAGAGAGAGTCAGAGAGAGCACAAGCAGAGGAAGGTGCAAAGGGAGAAGCAGACTCCCCACTGAGCAGGGAGCCTGATGCAGGGCTCAATCCCAGGACTCTGAGATCATGACTTGAGCTGAAGCAGATGCTTAATGGAATGAGCCACTCAGGCACCCTGAAACATGCCTTTCAAATTAAGAAAAATATCCAATTATTTCACCTTATTTCCTTTATGTTTGTTTAGCAAGGGCCTTTCTAAAGGCTTATTCCAAGCAGTTGAAGAGAAAGGATTGACACTATTTGCTGAGAGTAAGGAAGGAATGTAGTGTTGAAAAAGATGTAGACTTTCTTTCTATTCCCTCCAATTCCCCTCTCCCCATCCTAATGAAGGTGAAGATAGCAATTGTGTCATGAGGTTAAACCATAGAAAGAGTGGTTTAACTGGCATGGGCGTGGGAGCTGACCATGGTGAGGGGGAATCCTTGGGACGGTAGGCGCTCTAGATTAATTGTCCATATAGTTAGCAAAATAACCACTAAAAGAAGTTCTACTGTCCCTGCCTCTAGATTGGAAAAGTTATATATGAGTCTGAACATAGAGTGAATGTCATGGTGAGGATGCTGTACCTCAAAGCATTTTTAAAAGTTTTTATTTTAATTCCAGTTAGTTTATATTAGTTTCACATGTATGATACAGTGATTCAACAATTCCATATATCACCTTGTGCTCAAAGCATATTTTTTTTTAGAGAGAGAGAGAAGTGTGCAAGCAGGGTGGGGGTGAGGGAGAGGGAGAAAGAATCTTAAGCACACTGAATGTGGAGCCCAGTACCGGGCTCAGTCTCATGACCCTGAGATTATGACCCAAGCTGAACTCAAGAGTCCGACGCTTAACTGACTAAGCCATTCAGGCACCCCTCAAAGCATTTTTTAGAGTAACATTTTTGTTTGATTTCAAAACAAATATACAAAACTTGGAAAATACAGGAATATGCAAAATAGAACATCATAGTTGTATTTTGATAAATCCTTGTAGTCCTTTTTCTTTTTTTTTTTTAAGATTTTATTCATTTATTTGAGAGAAAGAGAGTGAGAAAGAGCATGAGAGGGGAGACGGTCAGAGGGCGAAGCAGACTCCCCACTGAGCAGGGAGCCCGATGCAGGACTCGATCCCAGGACTCCAGGATCATGACCCGAGCCGAAGGCAGTCGCTTAACCAACTAAGCCATCTAGGCACCCTCCTTGTAGTCAGTATTTTTTCTAAGAACTTTTTCTTAAAGTCTTCTTTTTATAAGTAATGTGTATTTTAACATGTTTTCACTTAGTGATATAATGTATCATTTTCAGTTAGTGATAAATATGACATGTTCTAAAAAAAATATTTTCCATGTCATTACATGATACATTTATAGATAACTATTAAATGGCTATATAGTATTTCAATGTGTAGATGAATCATAACTTATTTACTAAGCTTTTGTTTTTTTAGAATTTCTAAATTTTTCACTTTTATAAGTAAGGTACTTTGAAATTCATATAGATAAATCTACTCACACACAAGTATTTCCTTTGGATAATTTTTGCTAGAATCAAACTTAAATAATTTTAATGCTTTTAATACATAATGACTCATTGCCTTCCAATAAGATTATACTGATTTATAATCTCAGCAGTATTTGTACATACTCATTTCTCCACTTCCTAGCTAATAGTGGGTGTAATAACTAAAAAAAAGTACTAGTTTGATTGATGAAACATTTTACTCCTGCATATTTGACTCTGAATTCTTTCTTTTGTGACTCACCTGAGCATAATCTTTGCCCACTTTTCTAATGGTATGTCAGTCTTTTCCTTATTGCTTCTTTTCTAATGATTTATTCAGAAATAACTTACAAAAAGTTGTAAACATAATGATAGTACAGAGAGCACCGAAATAGCTTTTACCCAGATTAACATTTTAACCCATTTGCTTTCTCTCTCATCCTTTCCCTGGCCCCCTCCTCTCTCCCTCTCTCTCCCTCTACACACACACACACACACACACACACATTTTTCTTTCCTGAATCATTTGAGGATAAGTTACATACAACCTGACGCTTTACCGCTAAATACTTTAGCCTGCCTTTCCTCAGGATGGTGATACTTTACATAAGCACAGTAATCTGTGTCATAAATTTACATACAGTACTTTAATCTACCATCCATATTCTAATTTTGTTAGTTGGCCTTTATAGCATTTTCTCCTCTAGTATAGGACTAGTAGAGTCAGCTTGTTTGGCATGTCTTTTTAGCCTCCTAATTCTGGAATATTTCCAGTTTATCTTTTTATATGACATTGGCATTTTTTGAAAACCCCTCAAACTTTTTTAAATAAAAATTTTCATTTTATGTTGGTCTAATGTTTCCTTTTGATTGGATTAAGGGCATGTACTCTTAGCCAGAAAACCATATAAGTGAGGATGTGTCCTTCTCAGGGTATGACCATCTGCCTGCCTTTATTTGGTGATAATTAATTTTGATCACCTGGTAAAGGTACTGCTCAATTTTTTTCACTCCCTTATTCCTGGGTTTTATTTTGTTGTTGTTGTTCCTTTTCAACTAGTAAGCAGTCTATAAGAGGCACTTTAAATACACTTTAAATGCTCTCCTCCTCATCAAAATTTATCCCTCGATACAGCATCCATTAATGATTTTACCTTATCTAAACTTTGCTACAGTGGTTGCTAAATGAAGATTTTTATGACTCCAGCCCTCCCTCCCCATTTATTAGCCCTCAGCATCCTACTTTAAGCAAGAGCCTCACTTCTTCTCATTATTTATTTATTTATTTATTATTGGTATAGACTGATAAACTCTTATTTTTTCAATGGTTTATAATTGATTACTGTACTGAATTGTTTTGATATGTAAGCTTATCTAAGCTTAGCCAGTAAGAGCCCCTTCAAGCTGCCTCCCGTGACATTGGAACATGGTTTCCTCATCTTTTATAAGCACTTCCTCACCTTCTGACATAACAAGATATCTCAGATATACTTACTCTGCCTAGTCTTGGAATCAGCCATTTCTCTGAGTACTCTTAGTTCCTTTGAAAAGAATGGCATTAGAGACCAAGATATAGGCTCTTGAGTATCACGCTCATGTGCTGCTTGATTCTGTTGATGGTTTCATGGGCTTATATATATGGCAGACATATCAAAGTATATATGTACTTCATTGTATGTCAACATGATACCTTAATCTATTTTCCAAAAAGTAGATAATAAAATAACATGTTTTAAAAAGACATTTTTTGCAAAAGAAAAAGTTAAACTAAAATATTGTGTTCAAAGATAAAACTTGGGTAATAAAATGCTAAAGAAAATCAAAGTAATAACAATAAAATTCATGAAAATGGTTATTTTAGGGAGGAGGGAGTTGGCTGTGACTGGGACCAGGGACATGAAGCTTCTAGGGTAGTTGGTCAGGTTTTATGTTTTTACCTAGATGGTAGTTATAAGAGTTTTCTCCTTATAATTCATTATATAATTGTTTTATGTAATTTTCCTATAGCTTACAATTTTATCATATTTTACAATAAAAAATGGTTTTAAAAATAAATGAATGTTTATGTTCATGATGCAAATAAATTATTATTTATAAAAAATTAAAGTCATTCTACAAGTAGGGCAAACTCATTGACAATCTAACATATAATTCATTGTACAGTTTTTAAGCTATTTTAAGGTACTTTCAGATAATGACTTATTAATAAGAAGCCTATACAAACTTAAACTGGAATATTACTCTTTCTTAATATATTAACTTTTTGAGTTTTGGTACAAAACCCAATTACATAAAATCAAGACATATGTTTATTTCAGTTTTGGAATTTCCATTTGGTTCATTTTAATGGTTTATTTTTCTGCTGAGATTTATCATCTTTTCACTAATTAGAGTGGATTTTTTTTTTTAATGTCTTTGAGCAGAATTATAACTGCTCTTTGAAAAATCCTTGTCTGCACATTTCAGTATCTGGGTCATCTCAGAGGCAGTCCCTATTAACTGTCATTTCTCTTGAGAATAGGTCATGCTTTTCTGTTCTTGCTTGTGTTGAGTAATTTTTATTATATTCTGGGCATTGTAAATATTATATTATGGAAATTCTGGATTCTGTTATATTTCTCCAAATACTATTGTTGGTGGGGGTGAGGGTGGTGCTGCTTTAAGCAGATCGTTAATTTGGTTGGCCTCAGACTGTAAACTCTGTCTCTGGGGCAACAGCTCAGATCTCTAATTCTTTTATCTTTAGACTGCTTGGAGTCTGCCCTGTGCATGTAGAGTTCAGGGCTCAGTCAGATGTGTGTGTAGGGTCTATCTGAGGTATTGGGACTCCTTTTTGACTCTCCTATTTTGAGTCACTCTTCACTTTTCAGCACTATGGTTGACCCAAACTGTGCTCTAGTTCTTTAGGCCAGACTATGTTTTCTTTCAGAATGTTAGTTCCCCTTCATGGTGCAGACTGGAGCCTCAGGTTTGAAATCATTAAAAACAACAACAACAAAAACAACACAAAAAGCCTGACCTTCATGCTGTCACCTCATTCCAAGTGTCAGCTTCCTTCCAGAAATCTTCTTGTTTTTGTTCACTTTCCAATGCCTTCAAATAGGGGTTTTTCTTTTTTTAATGTTCTGCAAAGTTTAGACTTTTTATTTATATGCAGAGCAGTCTGATAGGGGCCTACTTAGCCATTATAGAAGTGACCTGAATATTTATTTCTTTAAAGAAATAATAATATAAAGATGCTAAGAAATTTCTCCTATGGATGAATAAAATAATGATATAGAAAAACACACTGTTGGACTAACAGATTAGGTTATTTTTTGGCAGAAAAAAACCCCTTGACTTCATATTTCTCATTTCAAAGAAGTATGCATATATAATTACAAATAGAATATAAAGGTAAGAAAAGTAATAAAGGAAAAACATGTTTTTAAAAAGGGAAGACATTTATACTTGAACTATTTTGAAATAAAATATTTTAACCTCTTTTATATTATTCTAGGAATAAATCTAATGAAGCTGATGACTGTCAAAGAGAACTTAGAAAACTGAAGTTTGAATCCATTATTTCTGAGTCACGGTATACATTACAAATTTTTAAATTAATATTTTTAGTCATTGAATTTGAAACCATACTCTAAGTAACATTTTATTTGTTATGTACTTAGCTTTTCTTATTGTATTATTTACATATATAATACCTAATTCATGTTTATAATATTGTGAAGTTGTTCATTGATTTTTGCCTCTGCCTAGATGGGGCAGAGAACTATCCATTTTCTTAGTATTTTAAAAATTGTTCTTTAAAGTAAAAATTAGGGCGCCTGGGTGGCTCAGTTGGTTAAGTGACTGCCTTCGGCTCAGGTCATGATCCTGGAGTCCCTGGATCGAGTCCCGCATCGGGCTCCCT